TTTTAAACTTGCACAGGGTCTTTTCTGGATTGAGGCTGAATGTGCTTTCTCGCGCGGGCAGCTTTTTTTGCGAGCATGTCTGGCGCAGCAGTTGTTCCAGCTTGTCTTGGTGACCCTATCGAGTCGTCGTTGGAGGGATACGTTCAAAGTGCAGGTCAAGAAAGTATACGCCACAGCTTTTCAACATTGAAGAAGTCGCACCAACGGTTTTTCTTTGCATTTGTGACGTGGTGCCGCCAGTACTTCGTATTTTCGAAATTTCGTTCTGAGGTCCCCTTGTTCTTGTGTTGCGTGTTCGCAGGGCCGTGTCGCAAAACAAACGCATAATAACATTTTTTTACACACGTAGTATAGTCAGAACAGCCAAGGCGAAACATGAACATGTTGTGTGAGACAATTGTGGTTGAATTGCAGCATGCGACATGCAACGCTGGCTTCAAGTGTACACGAATTGAACATTTATTCGCCTGTGCAGCGGGGTGAGTGGATACGCATGTGTACATACATACACGCTTTCCATCTGAGGCGCGTTTCAATGGGAGCAGCCCGCCAGTTCGCCCACATTGGAATTCGTAGCGGTTTTGGGCAGCATTGCGGCTCTCTAAGTTTCGAATAGAAAATTTCCGTATTGGTCCCCCTCTTTCATTATTCCGGAACATTTATATATATATATACACACATATTTGTATTTATATATATATATTAATCAATGTTTTGTTTTTTGTTGTTGTTGGCTGTTTATGTTGTTGTTGTTGTTGTTGTTGTTGAACATTATTACTTCTAAAGAATAATTATTGTTGGGACCCCTGGTGCACGACCCCCCCGCCGCGCCTAGGCCGCAGCCTCATTTTCATCATTTTCGTGAGGAAGTCTCAGGCAAAACGGGTTGGTCCGGATCCAAAAAAAATAAGCTAAAGTGGACATTTCTTGTTCTAACATAACCAAACTTCAAGAATCCCTTGCAAAAAATAAGGTAAAGTGGACATTCGCGCGCGCAAGACGAAATCCTTCCAAAACCTTAGTTTTCGTAGCGATTTTAACATAAAAACATCAAAAAACCAATGGTTTTTCAAAAAAATTGTCAAAATTTCATCCCGCGCGCTCTTGCGGATTCGTAGGAAACCCAACACTTTTTAAACATTTCTGTCAAACGGGCTTTTGCGAGCAACTTTTTCGAACTTCTGCAACAACGGTTGCGCACCTGCCAGGGCCATCATCCCTGTCAAATAATACCATGCGGGACACATTCGTTTTTTCTTCGCGCGCGCACGCCGTCGTCGTCGGCCGCGGGGCCCTGAATAGTAGCCACGGTCGTCCGCATGCCACGAAGTGAAGTGTCCGAACGTCATAGGGCGGGAAGCTGGGTGTGGGTGGTGGCGAAGAGTCGTTTGGAAATTTGGTAGAGCTTGAACCGGCCCCCCCACAAAGTGGGGGTATTGCCCGCCTCCTATGAAAACCCTGGCACTGGTGAGAACGGTGTGTCCCCACGTGCTAGTAATTGTTGTTGTTGTTGTTGTTGTTGTTGTTGTTGTTGTTGTTGTTGTTGTTGTTGTTGTTGTTGTTGTTGTTGTTGTTGTTGTTTATTTGAAAGTCTTATTGCTTTTTGTGAAACGCTTTTCAAGATATTCTTCAAACGCGTGTTGCAGACCAGTGATCCAGGGGCTTTTTCTGAACGCTGCCCCTTTCAAGCCTGAGGGAGTGCCAGCTTAGGCGTTACTGGGTCGCTTCTGGGATTTCGGGCCTCGTTGAAATTTTCTCTGCCCATCTTAAGATCTCTGGGGTCGTGTCCAGGCTACAATCGAGGCTGATTTGTAGGTCGACGCTGCCAAATCCAGGGTGCCTTTGTGCCTTGTGTTTCGCGACCCATGCTTTCTGCAGTCGTAGGGCGGGTCTTGTGCTCTCTCGCGTGTCTTTTCCAATCCACTTCGACCATACCGGAAGGCCGTGGAGGGCCATCGGAAACCGCAGTGGCGCCAACGCTCAACTGATGCAATAATTCCAGGATTTTATTCAACGCCAGTCGTAGTGACAGGTTTCTCAGTCTGCAGAGCGTATGTTTGGGCCCGCGCACAGACGTTGCCGTGCGCGCGCGTGTGCGCGAGCGGGAGTGCACGGCCGTGTACGCAAGTGCCGAAACCATGGTGTGACTCCACCCCATGAGCTGGAAATAACTGCATTACGTTGTTTACGTCTGCGACCATAGCGAATCCTTGCCTCGGTGGGTCCCCGGTGCTGGACTGCAGCGGGACGAACTTGTCGGGCTGGGCGTGAAAATACTGCCGTCCATGCTTTCCCTCTTCATCTTCGACCCTGGAAAGTCAGAAGAAAGCGCACGATTTGCTTTGGTCAATTTAGCTTTCCGGTTTTCGCATACAAGAGCAGGAGGGTCGGCCCAGAAGTTGGTCTTCCGCTATGTCAGCAAAAACCGCGGAGAATTCGCGTCCCATAAACCCCTTGTTCAGCGATCGTTGACATCGCTGAAGCTGCTGCCTCGCCTTGATGGGGGACAGAGATGGGTGGCTCCTCGATGTTGTGACTTCGGATATCCCTGCTGGGGTTTACTTGCCTGCAGACGTCCTTCAGATTATGAGTCCAGGCCGGCTTTTCAGAGCTGTGACCCGCAGGGGTAGGGTCGGCGCTGGCGAAACCTAGTATTATTGTATGTTGTTATTGTATGTACGTCGGTCACGCAATGGCGACGCGCACGCTCGGAGATCTAGTATAAACTCCGTGACAGGCGCTTACTGGCCGCGCTGCTTGGGGAACGATCTGCTACAATCTGGTTGTATTAATGTTCGGGTCGGACGCTTCCAAGGAGGACACGTATTACCAGTATGCCCTTGAGCGTCCCATAGTTCAGCCACGCGCAGAGGGGTGTGGGGGGAGGGGGGAGGGGGGAGGGCTTCTTAGAAACACCCCCGCTTCTTAGAAGGCGCGGGCCTCATCTACAGATGTAAGGCCGGCGCCTTTTCAGCACCAGCCTCCTTCTAAGAAGCCCTCCCCCCTCCCTTCCACCCCCTTGTGCGCGCCGCCAATATGTGTTCGGGTCGGACGCTTCGAAGGAGGACATATATCCCAGTACGGTAGGTTCGCGTCGTGTCGACCGGCGGCGACCCCGCCGCCGACGTTCAAGGTTGAACGCCGACGGCGGCCCAGAATCGGTCGATGTTGAACGATCGGACGTTGCGGAGACGGCCGATCGTTCAAGGTTGAACGATCCAGCGCGGTGTCAGGAACTAACGCCAGGGTCGACACGGCACGAACCCCCAGTATGCCCTTGAGCGTCCCATAGGGCCAACACGTGGTTGCCTGCCCCTGGCCATGGTGCCGCCCTCCGTCGTTGCCGCCGATCTCCCCGTTTCGGCCCCGTCCGCGGCCGTGTCTACCGATCTCCCGGGCTCGCCCCCGCCCGACGGTTGTGCGAGGCAGAGCTGTGTCCAGATCCACCGCCTTTCGGAAGCCGATGTCCTGGGACCCCAGCTGGCGGTGGATGTCGATATATTTTGTCACAGGGGCTGCCCGAGTGTGTCCATATCCGGCGCTTGCCGAGGTCCCCGAAGATCGATCCCCCAGGCGTTGTCTATGGCTAAATCTCCGCCTCGGAGGTTGTCCCCGGGTTCACCCATGGCCTCGGTACTGGCGTCCGTTGCCGCCGATCTCTCTGGCCCAGCCTCGTCCCCGTCTGTCTCTGGCCTAGGTGTTGCCGTCCGTTGCCGCCAAGCTCCCTGGTTCGGCCTAGTCCCCTCATGGATTCGGCTCTCTGCCCAGCTCTCCCTGGCCCTCGTGCTGCTCGCCGTTGCCGTCGGTTTCCTCGGCCCTGCCCTGTCCAAAGGAGTATTCCGGGCTGCTTAACCTGGCACTTCGAAGCGGGTCGCCCTGCCATTCGCAACACTAGTAGGATTCAGACTGTGCACGACGTGTGCCTTGCGGCTGTCCTAGGCTGTCCCTGGGACTGGCGCGTATTTCATTCGTTTCCGTTTCGTCTTGTCACGCGTCGCCACCGTTTTGGTTGTTTTTTTGTTTTTCTTGCTGTGGTCCAGGCGCTGGCCTCCTTCGAAGATTTTGGGTTCTCGGGGACATCCGTTGGGCCCTGGGGGGTCTGGTGGGCCACCTTTATTGAGCTGTCCTGGAGTTTTTTTGGAGGCATGCTGGAGGCAAATTTCAATTGCACGCTTCGCGTGTGTCGATCATTCCGTCCAAAACGAGGCCCAGGCCAGGCGAGTTGTACTGATCACGGAAGCGTAGAACCATGCAACAAAGAGGGAGGCAGCCGTCGAACCGAAATTGTGGGTCAGCACTGACAGACCCAGCAGTGAGCCACATGCCTTCGCGGCGCTGTCGAATGATCGGGAGGCAAAGTACAGGATGAGGCGGAGGCGGGTCGTGGACTTTGGTTTGGAGGCAAGTTGGAGGCGATTTTGAGGTATACTGCGCCATCTTGGAGGCGATCTTTGGGTATCTGGGGCCATCTTGGTAGAGCCATCTTAGGCCAAAACGTTCCGATCAAGACACTGCGACCATGGCTGGTGGGATTTTTTCTTTTTGTGTGTGTAGAGTCGTTTCGTGGCTATACATGCAGGAAGGTAAGGGTGTGCGACATTCCTGGGGTGCCGTGTTATTCGATGCAGGTGTTTGTCACACATGTGAGACTAACACGTATCGCTTGCATGTTGTTTGCGCTATCGGCACTCAGGTGTATGCACAGCACTTGCATCCTGTTGTCGCGAAGATCGCGCATCTTTTTTTCAGTATTTCGTTGCATGCTTCTTGCGTTTTTATTCAATGGCTTGTGAACCCGAATAAGGAGAAGGTGAGCCCTGTGAGTTTGTACTGGTATTCCGTTGCATCCGACTGTCCTTCTCCCCGGACTCCATGGCGCACTCATGTTCGTCATTCCTTAGCTATTACCTTCATCGCGCTTTGTCTGTCTATTAGCTCATCTCTTTGTCGTTGCGTATTCTTGCCGCGCTGGCGGATGGACACGATTGTTTTGCATTGCGAAGCTTCTTTGGGCTTGCTAAGTAGTGTTGCCGTTGGCCTGCCCGCCGCCCCGTCCCTAGGAGGAATGCAGTTATGGGAATCCACCCCGTTAGGAGTACACGCCGGTCATTGGAGCTAGGTATTTCTGGATTTCCAGATACCAATCTATTTTAGGCGCCTTCTTACTTCAAAGATCGAGCGGTTCCCTTCTTTCCTCCTCTTCAGGGGGCGGGCGGAAGTTCAATGTACTTCCACCGCCTTCCTACTTCATGGTTCTACCTCCTTCTTCCGACCGACGGATATTGCGAACGGTTGGATATTCATAGTTCATTTCTCCTGGTCTTGTTTCGTTTTCCGTTAATCAACATGGGCCGTAGCGGCGGAAGCGAGAAGAGCAAGGCGATCCTCACGTCTGAGCTCGGATCTTGCCTTTGTCTTTGCAGGGACGTTGCTTCTGCTGTTTGCTCGCTCCCATTGCGCATTCAATTCTGCATTACTTTCGCAATGCAATGATCGTATGCTTTTGCTTTTCGGAGACTTTCTGCGAGGAAGGGCGTCGAATGTTAGCAGTTTTGCTAAGTCAGCAGGTCCTGTGGGACTTGTTGGATGTGTGGATAATGTGTGTTCATTGCGTCCGCCCCGCTACGATTCATGTGCTGATTCATAGGGTTCATAGTTTTGGGGTTCTCATGTGATTGTCTGCGAACTAGTTGATATTCGATGTATGCGGTCGCAATCGATTATGTCTCCCCAGGCGTTACAGTCTCACTCGCTCTCTCCCCCTCTGTGGTCTTAACTCTTCGCTCCATATCCCAGTTATGTTCTATCCGTTTGCCCATTCATATTCTCATTCTCACTCCGATTGTCATGCTGACCCCCTGCCCTCGCTCTCGTTCTCACTCCCGTTCTCACTCCTAGTCCCGCTCCCACTCTTGCTCTCGCTCTCGCCCACCGATGCCTTCGTTCGCACGCGCACTCGCAGTAGGTTTTCCTCTCATTGTCGCTCCCAGTCTGAGTCTTGCCCCCCGCTCGCCCTCAGTATGACTATTGCTCTGCGTGCACTCCTGTGCGTTTGACTTCCGTTTCCGCTCCCGCTCTCGTTGCTACCCTGGTCTTCTTCCCTCGCCCACTCGTTTTCAGTCTCACCCTCGCTGCCACTTCCGCTCGTCGCTCTCTCTGTCTGGCTTGCCTCCGCAGAATGTCACCCCCACCTCCCTGCGCGGGACGTCTCGGCTATCTTGGCCCTGGCCGACACGCCGGGCCTAGGACCAGTTTGTGCACGCCCCCCAGGCCTGGCCATAGAGGTATATGCACACACCGACCCTTTGGCGGCAGTTTCGCAGATCGCAGTCCCTCAGGGATGGCGAGGTCGAATCTGAATTTGCGTAGCGCGTCACTCCGCCGGACACCCTTGCAGCCCTCGACAGTGGCGATAGTTGTTTCGCATATGGCAGCCCCCCAGGGTGAGGTGTAATCTGAATTTGCATGGCGCGTCATTCCGCTTGATCCCGTCCAAGTCAGTGCTGGCCGCGTTCTGGATCCAGTGTCGTGCTCTCGATTTGTCGCCGGCCGCGCTGGCGATTCAGATCCCCGCCGAAACATTGGTGCTGGCCGCAGCTGAGATCCAGAATCGTATTCTCGCCATGGCGCCTACCGTCTCTAGGGATTCAGAGTCGTCCTCTGGCGTTGGCACCGGCCAGATTTCAATGTTTCGGAGGCGTCCTTCTGCCTTGCAGCGTTGGTCGCCGTCGTGTTTCATAATGACAAGACTTTCGTTAAACCTCGAGTTAAGAAGTTCCCCCTCGCCTTCACGCCTCTTTCTGTGCGCTCACGGGGGGAGGGTCTGAGAGGCAGCCTTTGAGAAGGCCTGCTCCTTCTCCTCCTCCCCCTCCGTCTCGTCGTCGGCCTCTTCCCCATCCTCCCTCTCCTTCTCTTCCTCCTTGTCCTCATCCTTATCCTCGTCCTCGTCCTCGTTTGTGTTGTCGTCGGCGTTTTCCTCATGTTCGTTCTCCTGATCCGCCTCCTTCGCTTCTTGTGCTGAGGGGTTCGCGCGTTGTCCCCGTGCTGACTTTGACGTTTGCCCCGTCCGTCAAACTGAACAGGCACCATGATCACATGAAATCTCTCGTCCCCTCCTCCTCCTCCTCCTCCTGCTCCTTCTGCTCGGCCCGTTCCTCCTGCTGCTCCTCCTTCGCATGACGGGGAGGGCGTTGATCTCGTCGTCGTCGTTGTCGTCGTCATCGTCGTCGTCGTCGTCGTCGCTCTCCTCCTCGGCTTGCCCCCAGTCGTTCTCCCTCTTTTCCCCCTCCTCCTCGGTCTCCTCGTTCTCCTCACCCTCCTTCTCCTCGCCCCTTTCCTCGTGCGCTCTGTCACAGTTTGTGCTGGACCAACCCGCCGATTGGATCATGGGCGAGCTCTGTCCGGGTCGGTCAGAGGCCGTGCGCCAGCCTTCGGCACGGCCCTCGGGCCCAATATTCTTTTACTTGTGATAAATGAAGAGATGCACGCGATCTGCTTCGTGGCGGGCCAGCGATATGCTGAGACTAAACAGCGCGAGGAAGGGGGTCAGGAGGAGGATGAGGAGGAGGATGAGGAGGAGGGGGATCCTGCGTGCACCTCTCCCTCAGTAAGGGTCCTTGCCTGGTGTCCTCCTCTGCGCTCGAGGGGTGCTCCTCTACTTCTCCTCACCTCGTCGCTCCCCTTCTCCCTCTCAGGGGCCGCACTTGGCCTACACCTGGGACATCGGCCTATAAGCCCCAGGTCGATCGCGCGTTGCGTTCCGATCGTTCTTCATCGCTTTGATCGCTAAGTTGCTCAGAGTTTGGCCAATGCGAAAGAAAGGGGGAGGAGGAGAAGGAGGAGGAGGAGGAGGAGGAGGAGGAGGAGGAGGAGCAGGAGTAGAAGGAGGAGGAGGAGCAGGAGGAGGAGGAGGAGGAGCAGGGCAGGAGGAGTCCAGATCAAATCAATGTCTTCCCCCCCCCGAGGCCAGGACCGACGTGCGCGGGTCCATCGCCAGCGTTGCCACCCCGTCCCGTGGCGGCCGGCGCGACGGAGCCGGCGGCGGATCTGACAACAAGGCTCCCGCCAGGGTTCGGAGGGCGCCAAAGGTAGACCTACACCTCCTCCTCCTCCTCCTCCTCCTCCTCCCTCCTCCCTCCTCCCTCCTCCCTCCTCCCTCCTCCCTCCTCCTCCCTCTCACACCGTGCCTGGCGGCGCCGCTCCTGGGCCCAGGACAGGCGTATACGCCGTCCTGGCCAAGTCCATAGGGGGTGTATTCCCCGATCCGGTGCCCGTGTTGGGCCTGACCGGGCTCGGTGCAAGGTGCTGCACGGCATCCAGACATCCGGCGTGTCGCCTAAGCTCACGGCGCGGTTTTCGTTCGCCACGGTTTTGGCGCGCTCCTGCGGGTGCCGCACGTCATCCAGACATCCGGGGTGCTGACTGAGTTCACGGCGCAGTTTTTGTTCGCAGGCTGCCGGCCTCGGGGGGCCGCTTCCGAGCCACCGGGTGTCTTTTTGTCCAAGCCAGGCGCGCCCGTGCACCGATCCTGTGCCCAGGGCAGGGCTGGCCTGGATCGGTGTTTGCAGGCGTGCAGCTGGTGTGTTGGCGTCCCTCTACATCATGCTTGCGGCTAAGGGTACCCGGCGTTGCAGCAGATCCAGGCGGCGTAGGAAATTCGGGACGGGCTGTCTCACATCTTTCTTGGCCCCAGGAAACTCACGGATCGATCTGGCTCGAGAAATCCCGCGTGAAGAATGGATCGACAGTTCGGGTCCAGGATTTTTCACGACATTGGATTCCTTTCATGACTTCGGATGTCTGTGAAAGGTATTTTGCGTTAACATCGGGCGTTCCAGAAAGGGCCTCGTCTTCGAGGGATCGATAAGTTGTCACCTCTTCCTCGGCGGAAGGCGGTGGAAGACGTGAACGAAAAAGCTGGCACTCCAAGAGATGCCAACTGTTTTGGCTTCAGGGCTTATTGAGAGTGCCGTGCGGTCGCAAGCCAGGGTCCCCTCTGCCAGGGGTCCGGTTCGCCTCGTCTGAGCATTATGCGGGCGAGGGATTGTTTTCCGAGGAGGATGAGGACAGGACAGGACAGGACATCCGCATAAGGGGGTCAACGTCGATACGCCTTCAAAGGAGGTGTGGGGTACGACTAGCAAGGTCCCCTGCGAGTTGAGTACGCCGCAGACCCAGACTTCTCATGGGGCTGGCAGGGGGCATATCCCGAAGCTCCAAGGGGCGAGCTCCGAGGTGGCCCCGTACGAGAGGCTCGCTACCTTGTGAGTAACAGTCCCTACGGGTCAGTGCGGGGGAAGCAGCTGTTGGCCCTCCCGTGTGCCCATTTCGATGGGGACGCGCTGGGCGAGCATGGCTCCCAAGCAGGGGGGAGGACGACGACACGACCTCACTCGACGCAGGGAAGAGAGGAGAGAATGCAGGAGGCCCCATCGTGCCAAGCTTTTGCTGGGGGGGCCTAATTATTATTCTACCTACGTCCTCCTGTGCCCACTCTTCGAACAGAGTCCCTCCCTCTCTAGGCTCACTTCGCTTCCTGGACGTGCTGGCCGATGGTTGAAGTATGCAATGTCGTGTCTGACAGTCCTGTGCTGCAGCACTCTGTATCCGAAGTCTCTGTAGTGCTCCAATTGTACCTCTGAGGTACCCCCTCCCGTCGGCGCGGAAGTAGGGGCGAGCAAACCTATTGTTGTCACGGCGTGTGAGAGGCTTCCCCAGTCTGTGATGCTGATCACGTACCACTGTCGTCTCGCGGGGGGAGGGACCCTTAAGGATTGCACTCTAGTGGCCTTTGTGGTGCTTCGTTTTCCACTCGTCATCGAAGTGGTGGTGTACCTGTCGGCGCTCCAAAAAATACAAAGGCGTTGCTCTGTGCAAGCTCTCCTCCTACGGGCCCGCACGCCGAGATGCCCCCGCTAGTGACGGTGCCTCTGAGCTCATCTGTCGCTGCTGGGGCTGTGCCGTCCTGCCTGCCCGGGGTCGCACTCCGAGATCTCCCCGCTAGTGCTCCTCCCGGCCGTGCAAGTGGGCGCCCTCACGCGCGGACGCTGGAGCTAGCCGCTTGACCTGATTCAGCGTACATCTCGAAGATCTCGGTGCCGTCCAGCGGGGTGTCCGTGCTGCCGCGGAGCTCCTGACGTTCCTTGAGCCTCTCGACCTCCGGCTGCTCGAGCTGCACGGTTATCTCCAGCTCCCTCATGTGGCTATCGTCATGACGCTCTGTAGGTTCTCCGTGTCGTTCTTCGCGATCCGCAACGCAAGCTCGCACCAGCTGCGCGTCGTCAAGTACTTCTTTCCCGCTGCTTGCCACGCGTCCATCGGGTATTTTGCAATGCGCGCGCAGTCCTTGACTCGGTGCGCCATCGGGGCGGCAGGTGGGATCAGCTCGTGCAGTTGCTCTGGGCTCAGCTTCTGAGCTGCGTCGTAGAACTTGTAGTGGTTCCTTTTGATGGCGTCGTCGAGCGCTTGTAGCAGCCTCTCAGCTACGAGCGCCTCCCACTTGTCGCCTACCATGAGCTCCACCACCATTGATGGCCCACTGCAGTGCGGGTGGAACTTCGACTTGCAGGAGGAGGAGGAGGAGGAGGAGGAGGAGGAGGAGGACGAGGGGGGAGGAGGAGGAGGAGGATGAGGAGGAGGAAAGGGATGATGATGAGGAGGAGGGGGCGGGGGAAGGGGAGGATGAGAGATTGCTCTCCGCGTTCGGCGTCTCGCCATCGGCGGGGGCAGTTTTCGGACGGTCGGGGAGAAGGCGTTGCGGGGTCTTCCGACGGGTGGACGGCGAAAAGAGGGGTGGGAAAGGGGGCAGAGAGAAAGGAACCCGAAGGGAGGACTCGGGCTTCTTCCCCTCCTCCTCTTCCTCTTCCGTCCTCCCTCTCCTCATCAAACTGGTGACGGGGAGAGGGAGGGGGCGGGGATGGGATGGGTAGGGAAGTGAGGAGAAGGCTGAAAAGGGAGTGAGAGAGGGACAAGCTTCACAAGAGACTATGGGAGTTTACCAGGCAGCAATCGGACGATGAAGATCTCGTGATTCTCAGCAGTCCTCTCTGCAAGTCATACCCGGCCCAGCGGGCACTCCCCTTTTCCTATCTTCCAAGGAAGGAACTAGGAAGGAGAAAGACGACACGCGCGGCACGGCTGTGCTTGGGGGGAGGTCCCAAATCTCACGGCGGAGTTTGAAGGAAGTGGAAACGCCCGCTGGCGTGCCACGAATCTGCCCTGACATCCTCGCGTCGTGAATCGCGACGGAATGGCTTAGGCTATGTTCGGCAGCCTGGAGCCCTTTCTGGACCCCACTTGGATCAGCGCCGGGGTTGAGAAGAGCGTAGAAGGCTTATAGATCTGGGCTGCGTAGGATCCGTCTACTTAGCAGAGTTAGCTAATCCTCTAAGTCACTCGGGGCACTTTCAGTCCACTTATAAGCTAGCTTAGGCCAGATACAACCCACCGTACATCCACTTACAGCCCTCTGTCCCCTTGCCGACCCCCGCGCTGATCCAAGCATGACCGTGAATATATTACTCAGGATGAAACGCCGGTCCAAAGGGCTGGACCTCTAGGTACCTCTAGGGAGCCACGTCGTGAAAAGACACGACGTTGTATGCCTGGATGCATCGGCATTTTTGCATCCCCGCGGCCAGGCGGTGAGCTGAGCTCTCGTGGAGAGCGGACGAGCACCAGAGACTCCGGCGCGAGTGACAGCATCTCTGAGGAGTGGCAGCATGCAACAGCAGCGTCAGAGGCTCTGTCGGAGCTCTCGGCACAATGGAGTGGGTGCCACGTCCGCCTCCTCCACGGCCTCTGCTCGTCAGCACCCCGTGCAGTCGCCCCCCCACGATAGGCACGGTCGGAGCTCCAAGCCCCTCGGCGTCGGAAGGTGGAATTGGTCTTCGTGGGGGCGCCCTCCTCCTGCCCCGCTGTTCCCTCTTGCTCTGGCTGCCCCTTCTCACGCTCCTCCTCCTTCTGCTCCTGCTCCTCGTCCTGCTGCTGCTCCTCTTGCTATTGCTGCTCCTCCCGCTCCTGGTCCTCCTGCTAGCTTCTGCTCCTGTTCGCCCCCCGCTTTTGCTTCTCTTCCTCCTCCGGCTCTTCCTCCGGCTCCTGTCCCTGCTCACTCTTCCTGCTGCCCATCCTCGTCCTGCCGCTGCCGCTCCCACTACTGCTCCTGCTCTGCTGCTACTCCTGCTCGTCGTCGCGCCCTCGTCCCGGTTTCTTGCCTTTCCCCCGCACCCTCCGCCTCCCTCCGTGCAGCCAAGACGCTGAACTGAGGGCCACCTCGGGATCCGGAGGTGCTCTGGCTTTCGGGCGGCTGCTCGGCCCTCCAGGGCGCCGAACCTGCTCGTGGCTGAGGCTCGCCGTGGCTAGGAGAGCCCCTCCGCTCCTTCTACTCGGCGCTCTTTCTGATAGCACGATGACTGCAGCCATGGTGGCGCCCGGCTCCAAAGGCCGCCCTGCCCGCGCGACCCGCGCGCGCGTGCGCGCGCGCATGCCGCGCAACGGCGCTGGCCAGCCGCCGCCGCGGTTGCGCCGCGGCTCGCCGCCGCCGCCGCCCGCGCGCGCCAGCTGCCCCGTCGGAGGGGGCCCGCGCGGCGCCGCGCGGCGGGCCAGGGCCTCGCCGCCTGGCGAGCCGGCCGCCGCGGCCGCCCGCGGGCCGCCCGCGCAGAGCCCCCCTGCTGGGCTGCAGCAGAGGGCCCGCTCGGCGGGCTGGCTGCGGCCTGGAGCCGCCGCGGGCGCCGCGGCGTTGCCGCCCGCGGCCGCGGCGTGCTCCGTGTGGGACGTCGAGGCGCCAGGCGTGGTCCCCGCCGAGCCGCTATCGCTGTGCGACGGCCTGTGCGCCGCCGGGCAGGGCCGCCCGGGCCGCTGCGGGGAGGAGCCTCGCGTCGCGGGGCTGCGGCACGCGGCTGCGGTGCCGGGCTGCTGCGTGCCCCAGGTCGTGACGGCGACGGGGCGGTCGCTGCAGCTCTGGGTCGGCACGCTGGACGGGATGCGCCTGGACTCGTACGCCGAGCTCTCGGCCAGCGAGCGCGCGCTGCAGAGGTCTGGGGAGGTCACGGCCCTGGCA